AGGTTTCCCACCACCAAACTCTTGGTCAGCTCCTCTGGAACTGAATAATGGATCTGCATAGAGAATGCCCAGCAGGACAGAAATAGCAGGAAGGGAATCAGTAGTTGCCTTGGTTCCCCCCAGCCTGTCAGTCCAGCACCATTTCCCATCTCTTCCACAATTGGGGTTGCTTCTGCTCCAGCCTAGATAAGCCCCTTTCCAAACTATCCTTGGATTATAGTCTCCAGCCAAGAAGAAGTTGAACTCATTGCCTGTAAGTCTGTTCTGTTCCTGTTTATAATTTGTAGAACTAGGAGCCATAATAGGAATGTTGCGGGTTTGCTCTTGGATTTGCATTCCATGAAATTAGAAAAGCCACCAAGCAGGAATGTCTGGGGATCAGCTCATTTATCTTTGTTTCCACACTGGTCAACAGTGGCACTCTGAGTCCCTACTCTAGAACTGCAGCCTGAAGAAATGAGATCACACCGTTCTATAGAGTTAGTTGAGAGCAGAGAGAAAGATGTTTCTCACTGGAACTTGCAAGCTGAAAGGCGGTAGTACAGTCTTGCTCCTGCAATGAAATGTTCCTTGAAGTTTATAACCTCAGGGGTGTCAGCACATGAAGCCAAAGTGATGGCTTATTTTTATTTCTTCTTGATATTTGAGTATTTGTAGGCTAAGAATCTTTCTTTCTTATCTCCACCTCCATGCGCGGGCTTTAATTTTTACATGTAACACAGTCTCAGAATGAACTGTTGGCTGAATCTTCAGCTGAAATTATATAGGAAGCTTCTAAGAGGTTTCCCAATATGTAAATCTTATAAACTGAGGCAACTGTTTTCAAAATTTAACAAACAAACCAGAATCTTAGCCTTTTAAGACAAATCAAACAGTTGGCTCTTATTAGGGTTTTGAAATAGAGGAAAAGTCCATGTAAAACCATTCGTTTTGCACTACGATTCTTTTTTCTCCAAGAGACCACTTTCCACATTGAACTCAAGCATTGTATTGAGTACTTAGAAGGTGTACAAACTACTGTGTGAAATATTTCAGAGAGTTAATGATGAACTAAGAAATTATACCTGCCCTCAATGACAGTACCCAGAGTAGATACTTACATGACATATCTAAGAAAAAGTATGGTGGTACCAACTTCTTTTGCATACAGATTAAATTATTTGTTTTAATTCTAAGGTCTCTCCAATGGCAGTTTCAAAAAACAGTTTCCTGAACCAGAGCCCTTCCTATATGATACCCAGAAGTCTCAGCCTTTATAAAATATTTTTTTACAATTAGTTTTGCCATAGGCTGGCTATCTTTTGCCATCAGTATTTTAGGAATGCATCCTAAACAGCATGCCCTGTTGTTGGTAATTTTCCATTAAGAATGGTTTCTTAAAGGTGAAATCAAAGTGTAATATTAGAGAATAACTATGTCTCTTTCTTGAGATTTAGCTTCATCAGTTTGATCAACATTCCTTTGAAACTATGTGTTTGCTTTTTTGAATCTAACATCTTATATGAGGATAAAGCAGATTTTTCACCACAACTATTCAATTTATAATCATAGTTAAACTCTGTTACATGTCACAAAGAAAACTGACACAGTTTGCTCACTTGTCATTAGCCTTATAGTTCACTGAAAAGTGGTGTATGAGTTGTATGGTCTCCTCAACATTCCTAGGCTATTGCTGCTTCAAAAAGCATAATATTTCTGGATGAACGTAATAGAATAACGTCCCCTAACTAATTACATTCCAATTTTAGGTGCTATAAAACAATGACACTACAAGTTTTAAATTATAGCTGAACACTTTAACTTATTAGATAAAATGATGCATACTCACCTGTCATACACATAAGAAGCCAATGAAAGTTCTTAACATAATTTTATGACTGGAATCAGAAGAAATGTAAACACATCCAAACCCATCGCCCAGCTAGTCTCAGAAAACGATCAAGAAATATGTTAATTATCAATCCTAAATTATCAACAAGTATTCTAAAAATCCTAAAGCTAAGCCATTAGCTTCAATTCTTACATGGCCCAAACCAAATAACAATCATCAGCCTTCAGGTTTCAGTGATCCATTTTCCAGTAAAATTATCTAAGATACCATTGAAGTAAACTGCTTCTTTAAAATAAGTTTTGGCTGGGCGTGGTGGCTCACGCCTGTAATCCCAGAACTTTGGGAGGCCAAGGTGGGTAGATCATGAGGTTAAAAGTTCAAGACCATCCTGGCCAACATGGTGAAACCCCATCTCTACTAAAAATACAAAAATTAGCCAGGCGTGGTCGTGCACGCCTGTAATCCAAGCTACTCAGGAGGCTGAGGCAGGAGGATCACTTGAACCTAGGAGGCAGAGGTTGCAGTGAGCCGAGATCACACCATTGCACTCCAGCCTGGATGACAGAGCGAGACTCAATGTCAAAAATAAATAAATAAATAAAGTTTCACAGAATCCTTGTTTAGATTACACTATGGTTCAGACAAAGAAAAAGTAACACTCACAAAATTGTCTCATACAAAAAATATGTCCTCCATCTTTTATGGCTTAAAACTATGGCTTCTTAATCAAGAATGTGCCTAGGCACTTAAGATTTTTAAACTAGCTTTCACAAAAATTTTAGAACAGTTTTATTTCCACCCACAAATTATTCCATTGTACCACCTGGGGAAGCACAAAAATCATTATTACTTTTCCCAACAGGATGTTGAGTGTGCTGGCATTGAAAATATAAATCCTTTTTTTGTCAAACACTAAAAATGGCTACTGTTAATTAATTATATGTTGTGAATCAGATTTTTTTTTTTTAGCCCTAGTCATCACCACGACCTTTCAAATTAAATATGATTATTCCTACTTTGCTGAAGCTCAAAGAGATTCAATAACTTGCTAAAGGTGATACAGTTAAGAAGTTACAGAATTGCAAAGTTGCTGTCCTTCTATGATACATCCGAAAATTCAGAATGCTGGTATCAGGTAACCCACAAAATACATTATTTGTTTATTCATTCATTCATTCAACAACTATGTAATAATACCTATTCAGCTCAAACTGGAAAGTAGAGTTGATTCAGATCACTTATATTTGAGATATGGTCTAAAGATCTTGACAATTCATGCTCTAACTCTCAATGATTTGTTCCTAAATCAAGTTAGGTGAACAGAGGTGAGAATAATTAGACCATGTTAGTTTAGCTTCCCAAATCATTTGTTTTTCTATTATGTCTTTCTTTCTATTTGACTGCATATGAGAACTGGCCATGTGATAAACATTTACAAGACAATGGGGGAGAGAGGGTTAATTGCCCTCTATTTCTCTCAATATTACCTATAGAATACTGTACTTACTAAATTCTATTTGAAAACTAATGTAAATAGAAATTTAGTATTTTTAAATGAACTCAAATACTTTCTTTTAAAAACATCAGACAAACAGAGACACACACTTTGTATTCCCCACTCCCCACCACGCTTTTGGTCTCAGAAGCAACAACTGCCTCATTTTAGAGCCCTTGGATGTCTTTCATTCTCCAAGTCATTTCCATCCAATCTCTTTTCTAAGTCTGGGTTTTTAACTATTGTATCTTTCAAAGTAGATAAGAAGCAAACAAAGAAGAAAGGAAAAATAATTGGGATGTTATGGTTCCCTACACTGTTACAGAATTCACCACAAGAAATCAGGCAATGCTTTTTAAAGAGTATTTACACTTTAGCATTCAATAGCTGTAAACACTCTACAATAAGCATAAAGTTCTCAGAAAACTTTGTGTACATTTCAGAAATTTTCCTATACTTGTAAAAGTTATGGGGAATTTAACGTAGAAATCAGAGGATATCACTGCAAATTTGTCAGTTACCAAAAAAGTATTCAAAACACATTTTGTTATTTTGAATATTATGCAAAGTCATCATTAATATCATGAGTGTAGGAAATGGGCAAAATAAATGTCTAACTTGGAAACACAGATATTATATTACTGAAATGCATAACAGAAGTGAAAAATAGTGTTTTGCTGTTTTTTCTCACAACAATACAGTATACTGTATATTTGAGTGATAAAATTTTAAATGCAGAAGAAATAAATTCATCATATTTGGAAGTTTATGAATGACTTAAAACCATGAAATGACTTGGGACACTGAGAAAGTATAAATGGGTAAATCCCTAATGGCAGAAAGAACTACTGCACTATGAAAGAAACTAAATTCAGTTCATGAATTTGCTAGCACTCTCAAGTGTAGTTAAAAGCCACTCTATTTATAAAAGTTTACTAATATTTTTATTTATATTTTCCATTGAATTAGATTGCTCCCCTCTAGTTAAACAGATCAGTTGATATCAGATGCTCTACACAAAACTGTTGCTTGGTCAATGGGCAAAAAATTAAAAGTGGGAAAAGAGCATTATCATTGATAAGTTAGAAAATGATATGGAGTATTAACAAAGTAATTTGCAAATCGTTAATAAATTGTATCTATTATATAAAATATATGTACATGATATATAAATCATTATAAATAAGGTATGAGGGAAAGTGACCGGATTGTTGTTGGTGTCCATCATATATATATATATAAATTTATTGATGTCAGCTTTATAAATTTCAAATGTACTAAGGAATATATTTCTCCAGGCTCAGAAAAGAATATTTGATAGAGCTGAGCACTGTCGTTCACACTTGTAATCCTAGCACTTTGGGAGGCTGAAGAAGGAGGCTAGCCTGAGCCCAAGTTCCAGATCAGCCTGGTCAACATGGTGAGACCTCTTTCTGTACAAGAAAGTAAAATAAAATAAAATAAAATAAAATAAAGGTCAAGTAAAAAGCAGGAAAGCGGCTTGCGCCTGTAGTCCCTGTTACACTGGAGGCGAAGGTGGGAGAATTGCTTGAGCCTAGGAGTTTGAGGCTGCAGTGAGCTATGATTGTCCCATCGCATTCCAGCTTGGGCGACAGAGCGATTAAAAAAAAGAAGAAGAAAGAATATTTGGTATAAATTTTGATATAAACTCACCTGAATTAATGCATGACTGTCTTTAGAAAATACCGAATCACCTGACAGCAAAAGGGGCTCGCTTTTCTCACAGCTCTCCTGGCTGATAAGCGTGTCCGCATAGTTGGGCTGGGGGAAGATCAGGTGACTCTTCCGCGAGTCCGCGGTGAGGCAGACCTCGTGGGAATAGGTCTGCAGGAAAGCCCGCGCCCCGTCCACGCCCACAAAGTGCGACGTCGACGCTCCTATCAAGCCGCCTCCCGAAGCCTGCAGCGGGCGTGACTTGTGCCAGCGCCGCAGCCTGAGCGCCAGCAACACGATGACGAAGGCCAGGAAGACGCAGGAGACCGCGGCCACCGCCACCACCAGGTACAGCGTGAGGTCTGAGGTTCCAGAATTAGCTGGAGACTCGAGGCTGCTGAGGTCCGCCAGGACTTCGGGGATGCTGTCGGCCACGGCCACGGTGAGCGTGACGGTGGCCGAGAGAGGGGGCTGGCCGTGGTCCTGGACGGCCACCACGAGGCTCTGCTTGAGCGCGTCTCTGTCTAGCAGGGCCCGCGCCGTGCGCACCTCGCCCGTGTGCAGCCCCACCGCGAAGAGTCCGGGCTCGCTGGCCTTGAGCAGGCGGTAGGACAGCCAGGCGTTCTGGCCCGAGTCTCTGTCCACCGCCACCACCTTGGTCACCAGGTAGCCGGGCTCTGCGGAGCGGGGCGCCAGCTCCACTCCGGTGGAACCATCTGTGGGGAAGACGGGGTACAGGATCTCGGGCGTATTGTCGTTCTGATCCAGCACGAACAGGCTCAGTGACACATTGCTGCTGAGGGGCGGGTCCCCGTTGTCCCGCGCCATCACTTTCACTTGCAAGTCCCGGAACTGCTCGTAGTCGAAGGAGTGCAGCGCATACAGTACCCCAGTGTCGGAGTTGATGGACACGTAGGACGATAGGGGCGCCCCTTGGATGGTGTCCTCAGCCAGGGAATAAGTGATCTGGGCGTTCTCCTCACAGTCGGGGTCGTGGGCGGTCATAGAGACGAGGGAAGCGCCTCTGGGATTGTTCTCTGGGATATAGGCGGAATAGGAAGCCCGAGGGAAGACCGGCGGGTTGTCGTTGGTGTCTGCCACGTTCAGCGAGATGTGAGTTTCCGTGGACAGGGGCGGGGTTCCCCGGTCAGTGGCGGTCACTGTGATGTTGTAGCTAGGAACCTGTTCCCTATCCAAGACTATGTCTGTGACTAAACTGTAGTAATTTCCGTAAGATTTTTCTAATTTAAAGGGCAGATTTCCTTGGATGAAACAGATCACCTGTCCGTTTTCCTCAGAATCTTGGTCATTTACATTTAAAAGGGCAATTAATGTCCCTCTGGGAGAGTTTTCAGGAACCGAGCTGGTGAGAGAGGTGAGGACCACTTCCGGGGCATTGTCGTTCACGTCCAGAACAGTGATCAGGACTTTGGCGCGTGCAGAATATCCTGCGTTATCCATTGCTTGCACTTCCATCTGGTAGAATCCTGACTCCTCGTGGTCCAACTCTGCTATTGTTGATATTATCCCTAAATTATAGTCTAGTTTGAAAATTTGGGCCGCCTTGTCGTCCACATACCGGAAGGAATACCTCACTTCCCCATTGACTCCTTCATCAGGGTCGGTGGCGTTGACTACCAGCAGCTGCGTTCCCAAGGCCACATTCTCCGGAACGCTCGCGCGGTACTCGGACTGAGCAAACGCTGGTGCGTTGTCGTTCACATCCATAACCATCACGCGGATGCGCGCGGTGCCTGTGCGCACCGGATCTCCCCCGTCGGAAGCCGTGAGGATCAGGTGGTGAGCGGCCTTTTCTTCGCGGTCCAGGGCGCGTTCCAGCACCAATTCCGGGTACTTATTGCCGTCGGCTCCATTTTGCACGACCAGGGAGAAGTGAGTATTCGGGCTGAGCTCGTAGCTCTGGAGAGAGTTCTTCCCGATATCCGGATCCCAGGCGTGGGGTAGAGGGAACAGCATCCCAGTGGCTGCGTTTTCACTCATTTTTATTTCTAATTCACTTTCACGAAAGTAAGGAGCATTGTCGTTAATGTCCCTTACTTCTATTTCCACTCCATATATTTTCACTTTATCCTCCATCAGAATGTCAAGATTTAATTGACACTTGACAGCCCCCATACAGAGCTCCTCCCGGTCTATCCTGCCCGCAGTGACCAAGCTGCCGCTGTGTGGGTTCAGGGCAAAAAGCTGCGTCCTACCTCTGGGGACGATGCGGACTCCGCGTTCCGCCAGCTGCTGGGGCTCCAGCCCCAGGTCCCTGGAGATGTCGCCCACCCTAGAGCCTTTCTCCAGCTCCTCCGGAACTGAATAGCGTATCTGGGTGCATCCAGTCTCCCACAGGGTCCCCAGGAGAACTCCCAGCAGGATCAGCCCTTTGCAGTCCCCGTGCAGTCGCGCAGGAATCATTGTCACCTTCCTTCAGAATTATTTTCAATTCTGCCTTTAACCACTGAAGTGAGGAGCAGTTCTTTCACCCCTAGAATGGGGCAGTTGGGGAGTCAGAGCTCCTCCGTTGTTTCCTCATAGTCCCAGAGATGGTTCATTCCTATCTGCTTTGTGCTTTGGGCGCGTGCAAGGCGAGCAGGATCTCCACTTTTCTCTCCCGGATTGGTGAACAGCGGCGCTCAGAGTCGTAACCAATTACTGCACAATCTTGAACTCCCAGAAAGGATATTTCGTTTTTATACTTTAAATAGCTCCACCTACTGTTCTTTAAAAAGGGATGGAAATCTACAGTATTCGCTTTAGTAGAAACTTTAGTGAGGTTTTTTTTTCTTCTTCCAATAAGCTTTTTTCCCCACTGAGCTTTTAAGTGAATTTGAAGTTTCTATAAACAATAATTTGTATTTTAGAATTTTAGTGCATCTGCTTTGAGATTATTGTTCCGTCAATACACCTATTATGGGGGGGATGTCTCCCTAGGAGTTCCTCATTTTGACAAATCATATAATATAGCAAACTTTCTAATTCAGCTATAATTTGGGCAAACATTTTTCAATAGATTCCTTGAATGATCCTGAATGGAAAAATTAGTTGACCAGGTTGTTGACATTTAATGTTTAAAAATCAAAATTCATGATAATATGAAAACCCAAAAATGAGATATGTGATTGTATACGTTGTCAGAATCACACTTAACAAGAACCCAAGTGAAAAAGAAACATTAATATTTTTTAGCATAAAGTAGAAGCATTCCAACTTGCATTACCTGGAAAGAATGGTAGTACTCCATGATTCTATTAATACATTATATTTCAAAAATATTTAGTGTGGAGGAAACCAGTAAAAGAAAATTGGTAGTCCAAAGAACATTAAAGACTTACCTTTTCCTGGGTAACTGACCTAATTGTAATTACTGAGAATGACTGGTAATACTTTTGGAAGCCCATTAAAATATAGGGAAAAAATTCTCCTTAAGATTAACAACTGGCTACTGTACTTTTATAACTGTAAATATTTATACTGTGAGGATAAGATGTTTGATAGGCATAAAACAAAATAATATATTTATTGGGAAGAAATATATAGGTAGCTGTGAGAAAAGATCTGACATAAAATTGCGTTTGCTCAGATTACAAGAATCACAAGTAAATGTACTTGAATATTATTATCAAATAATTACCATGTTCTTATTTTTTTAAAGCTTTTTTTTCTCTACCAGTGCCAGGCAACTGTAGCCTCAGCTACTCTGGAGACTGAGGTTGGAGGAACACGACAGCCCAGGAGTTTGAGTCCAGGCTGGGCAACACAATGAGATCTTCCTCTCATTTTTTATAAAGCATTTTCTCATGCATTTTCCTCAAAATTTATAGTTAATGGATGAAAGAAAAAGCCTTATATGCTCAAGATATTGATATCCCAAGAAACATCACAGAAAAAAATTTATTCTTCAATTAAAATATCTCAATGACAGCAGTATCATAGTACTCACTTCTCACACGTGTGTGTTTGTGTGTATAAAGAATGTCTCGAGTAAAAATGGTTAAAATGTTTCAAAAATACATTAAAGCTAATAATGAAGTTACTGGCCCACACTAAAAGGAACTGGAAATATTAAGAGTAGACAAACCTGAGGCAATAGCAGATATAATATGTTTAAGATTTTCTTGCCAAAATATTGGTTTGAAAATTAAACCACACTCACTTCTAAATGAAAAACATTCATTGGAACTCACGTGAGTAGGAGCGACAGAGTTAGAGCTTATCTTGTTATTCTCTTCAGTGACATTTGCTACCAGAGAAGCTTCATTAGAAATATCTTGTGGGGGGATCATTTCTGGCGTCATGGTGAGAAAATTAAATCTTGTTTTTTGAGAATCCGAGGCAACATACAGATTGTAGGAATAAGGCAAAGTTCCCTCATTGTAGTTGAGAGAAACCCCTGGTCTAGTCTTAGAACAGAGATCAGGCTGAAAGCAACCACAGGCAGAGCGGCCGGAAGAGCGTCGCAGGCGCAGAGCGACCGCCAGAATCACTGCTAGGAAGAAGAGCACAGAAATCAAGGCCAAGGCCACCACCAAGTAAATCTGCAGCTCTGTCTGGGAATTAGAGGGCACAGGGCCGTCACTGAAGTCTGGCAGTGCCTCCTGCAGGCTGTCTGCAAAGACCAAATGAAGCGTAGCGGTGGCAGAGAGTGGCGGCTGTCCACCATCACGCACAGCAACCAGCAGGCGCTGTCGGGCGGAGTCCCTGTCTCCTAAGGCACGTGCGGTGCGCACCTCGCCCGTGCGCAGCCCCAGGCTGAAGAGCCCAGGCTCGCTGGCCTGCAGCACGTGGTAGGACAGCCAAGCGTTGTGTCCCGAATCTGCGTCCACCGCCACCACCTTGGTCACCAGGTAGCCGGACTCTGCGGCGCGCGGCACCATATCGAAGAGTGCGGAGCCATCGGGCGCCAGCGCGGGGTACAGCACCCGCGGCGCATTGTCATTCAGGTCGCCCACCAACACGTGCAGGCTCACGTTGGCGCTGAGCGAGGGCGAGCCTTGGTCGCGGGCCTGCAGCGTGAGTTCGAAGGCGCGCAGCTGCTCATGGTCGAAGGAGCGCTGCGCGAACACCACCCCGCTTTGTGCGCTCACGGACACGTAGGACAACAGTGTCCGTAGCCCCAAGTCACTGGCAACAATGGAGTAGGAGACTTGGCCATTCAGCCCTAGGTCCAGGTCAGAGGCGCTGACTTGTGCGATGGAGGCTCCGGGAGGGTTGTTTTCTGCCACGTGGACCGTGTAGGAGGCCTGGTGGAAAACCGGAGCGTTGTCGTTGACATCACCAATGCGTAGGGTGACGCTTGTGCTGGATGAGAGCGGAGGCTTGCCCCTGTCGGTGGCAGTGATGGTGACATTGTACTCCGAGGTCCCCTCCCGATCCAGGGTCCCATCTGTTACAAGCTTATAGTAATTATTGGCGGAAGATTCGATTCTAAAAGGAACTCTTTGGTTTATGATGCATGTGACCTCCCCATTTTCCCCTGAATCTTTATCATGTGTTTTGAACAGAGCGATCACCGTCCCGGGCTCTGCATCTTCAGTTACAGAACTGGATACCGAAGTAAAAACCAGGTCTGGGGCATTGTCATTCTCATCTAGGATTTCTAGTATAATTTTACATTCGCTGGTCATGCCTCCACCGTCCTTAGCTTCTATGCTTATGGTATAACTGCTACGAATTTCAAAGTCTATAAAGTCTTTTGATGTAATTTCCCCATTTTGATTGTCTAGCACAAACGTGTTTCCAATATCATCTCGTAGGGATTTGAAAGAGTAAGTGATCTCTGCATTGATACCCTCATCCTGGTCAGAGGCTGTCACCTTTAGTACAGAGGTGCCTGGGGGCACATTCTCTCTCAGGCTGACTTTGTACACATCCTGGCTAAAAACTGGGGCATTATCGTTGGCATCAGTGACCTCAATTTGAATTGCAGCAGTGCCAGTTAGGACTGGGTCACCCCCATCCACTGCTGTCAGGACCAGGAGATGGAAGCTCTGTTGTTCCCGGTCCAGGGGCTTCTCCAACACTAATTCTGGAGCGTTCTTGCCTTCAGTCTTATCCATCAATAGAGAGAAATGCTCATTAGAGCTGAGTTGGTAACTCTGGAGAGAGTGATGCCCTACATCTGCATCTATAGCAGATTCCAGGCCAAACCGAGTGCCTGGAATTGCTAGTTCATTGATTTGTAAAACAATGCTATTTTGGGGAAAATGAGGTGGATTATCATTTATATCTTCTATCATCACATTTATGTGAAAAACATTTAGAGGATTCTCTGCTACAATCTCTAAAGGTATGACACACAGAGGATTTTGAGGACAGAGTGACTCTCGATCTATTCTATCACTCACAAGTATGTTCCCATTCTCAGTGTTCATGGTAAAGTATTGTTTCTCTGCACTAACTCTAAGGTTTCGGGCCAATAAATCCTGAACATGCAGCCCCATGTCCTCAACAAGGTTCCCCACCACTGAGCCCCGGACCATTTCTTCTGGAATGGAGTAGCTCATCTGCTCCGAGAGCGCCCCGCAGAACAAAGGCAGCAGGAAAGGAAAGAGTACTTGCCGCTGCCGGGTCCTGGTTCTCTGCTTCACCCTGTTTCCCATCCTTCCCGTGCGTTGCTGCAGTCTCCGATGTTAAGAGAAAATGTTTCGCAAATTGCTTTTAAAATATTTAGTTCCACGAACAGAAAACTCAATGATCCCAGTTTGAGGGCATTCCAATCCGTATGGAATCAGATTTGCTGGAGCAGAAAGCCCAAGTCTGGGCCACTCGCCTTTCGACTTGCTTCTGCGACTAAACAGAATGTCGTCCTGGTAGATCCCAGGCTCCAGCTCTTGCAGCACATTGGCCAACAGCGGCGCTCTGAGTCTATTTAGAAAACTGCAGCCAGAAGCCTTTGCTAATTCAATAGGATTCAGAATTTAGACAGATGTGTTGGACTAATGCATAGGAAACTAGTCACTTTAGGAGTTTTGGATGTGACTGTTTTCCAGTGTTTACTACCAAAGAAGATTCCTTAGAGACAAGATCCTATACAACAGCCATTAACCCAGTAAAGAAAAGTTAAAAGTTTTTCTAAGGAGAAGCAATGCATATATTGGGAGAACTAGGCAAAGTCTTGTCTCCTGATGTAGAACCAAAACCATGTAGGAAAACATCCCCACCAAATGGCATGGGAAAATTTTGACCACTATGAAATGATATGCAGTATTTTTTTCAATCTGATGTGCAGATAATTTTCCTCCTATTTTATCAGAGAAAACTAGAGGAGCACTGAAAGCTATATAGGGCAGATTCAGAATAAAGATAGCCAAATCTTTCTTACTACTTATAAAAGAGGTTTCTTAAGAGAATTATTAAGTGTTTTACACTTTAATCATAAAGAGAATATAAAGGTATAGCCTAGTACATTGCCAAAGGAGTTTAATAACATGAAATGTGAGGGTATTTTGTTTTTATCCTCTATTTAATGGGACTGTATGTTATACCTTAACAGAACTTTATCACTACCTCCAAATCAAAATAACCTTAATATCACATTTCAAAGCCAACCCTTCCTTTTTGTTCTCCAAGATCTTGGGTGCAAGCTCCTAGTTAGTTTAGATTATTAGGTTTTAAAATATGGAACAATCTCCTTTTCCCAGCCAAATGCCTCGTATCGTTTTTATTTATCTAATTCCAGTCCAGGTATAATACCTTACATCATTTTTCTCAGTCTGGAATTCCACAAGTATAAATCCTATCCCCAGACACTCAAAATACCCTAACATTTTTCTGG